CTGAAAGTGGAGGAGGGGGGAATCAAACCCGGTTCTCCCCAATTAGAGTCTGCGCACTTAACCACAACACCAAACTGGCTCCAAACAAACCACTACATCAAATTACAATCCATTTCCAGACTACATAAATCACTTATTTATCCTTTATTTTAAAACACTGGCTGCTTTGGAAGGGGGACTGCATGACATTCTACCCCATCAAAGTCCCGCCCCTTAACCCCACTCTCCTAGGCTCCACCCTCAAATCTCCAGGCGTTGCCAAACCCAGAGTTGGCAACTGTAGGTTCACTGGGAGACCCCGTGGCTTGTTCCTCAAGCACTGGATTCCGGCACGAAACTCAGGATTGAGATTTACTCACAGGTGACTGAGCTGCTGATTGCGTAAGCTGAGTGGATATCAGTGCTGCTATGTCGCGGTGTCCCGCCTCCAGGGCTATGGAGACGGCATCGTTGCCATCCTGTGGAAACAGAACATAAGTATCAGGCCCGGCTTATGACTAGGCTGCTGTTCCATCTACATCTTTTTGCATCTGGGAGCTGGCATTTTGAGCAAATGCTAGGCGGTGCACTGAAGAAGAGGAGATTGGGTTTATACCCTGCCCTTCACTACCTGAAGGAGTCTCAGAGTGGCTTACAGTCTCCCTTGCCTTTCCAACACCAGACACCCTGTGAGGTAGGTGGGGCTGAGAGAGCGCTTTTGAGGACTGCTCCTGAGAGAACAGCTCTGAGAGAACTTGTGACTGACCCAAGGTCACACCAGCAGCTGCATGTGGAGGAGTGGGGGGATCATACCCGGTCCTCCCAGATTAGAGTCCACGCTCCTAACCACTACACCAAACTGGAAGCAAGCTCAGTATCAAAATGGCATTTTTTAAAAGAATTTTTTAAATTTACTTTTTATTTACTTATACCCTATCTTTCACCTCCAATGGTGACTCATAGCAGATTACATCATTCTTCTTTCCTCTGTTTAATCTTCACAATAACACTGTGAGGTAGGCACATTAACCACTGCACCATGCTGGCAGTGAGGACTAGAACCTTGGAAGCTGTATGGAACCGAAGGCTTCCCTTCGACTCCTGTGCAGCCATGCACAGAGTTACTATGTCTACGGAAGCGGAGCTTACGTTATCCACGATGGACGCATCGCAAGTGGGCCGAGACAAGAGAAGCCGCACGGTGCCCGCCCGCCCGTGCTCGCAAGCGCACATGAGGGCGGTGGAGCCTTCCTCGTCTTGGAGGTTGATGTCTGCTCCACAAGCCAGCAGGGCCTCCACCATCTCCTGCCTGCCGTGGCTCACGGCGAGCATAAGAGCCGTCTGGCCTGCCTAGGGCCCAAACAGAACAGAGAATGCGTTTTAGGTAAAAGGTCTATCCATTTTAGATTCTGAGCCACAACCTACAATGAAAAGATATGTGGTGAAGCTCAAAACAACATTTCACCTGCTTTGCAAAGTCAAGGCTACCTGTGGGCATATGCAAGACTCCCCACACTCGCTTCTCCAACTACCACAAGGGTGGCCAAATTAACGTAAGAGCCACACAGAACAAACGTCAGATGTTCGAGAGCTGCAAGACCAGGCCTGTTGCCAGGATTTTTCATTCGGGGGGGGCACCCCACACAGACACCCCCACATCCCCCAGGGAGCACCACAAATAAAATTAAAAATTGGAAGTCGGGGGGGCCCTTGACAGTAAGTCGGGCCGCGAGATGCCCTACTGTAGCTACGGGCCTCCACAAGACATGAACAAATATGACACGATTTACTGGGAAATATGCAAATTTCCTTTTTTATTAACATTAAATGAGACTGCCAAAAATAATAACAACAAGCAGTAAACGCAGATATTGATAACGATAGTTATTTGTCCAATGATAATTTGTTTGCTAATCAGGGGTCATTCCCTGCAGGAGCGCACAGGAGCGGAGCTCCGGCAGGAAAGAGCCCAGGGGGCGGGCACATGCAACAAGCCCCTCCCCCTGCTCCCAGCAGCCCTCAGTCAGAGTAAGAAGCAGCCAGGTAAGTTGCAGAGCCCCCCCCCAGCCCCCCGGCCCAAAACAGTCCAGTGGCACCTTTAAGACCAAGTTTTATTCAGGTACAAGCTCTCCCTCCTCTGCGAGGACAGGTCTGCACATCCCCCCCCCCCCAATAGCTAGCAACCCAAAAGAGTCCAGTGGAGCCTGAGCGGTGGGTGTTGCCTTCTGACACACTTCCGGTGATGGCAGGGGTGTGTGGGATATGCAAATGAGTTATGCTAATGAGCTCCTGCACCTCTTTTTCTACGAAATGACCCCTGTTTCTCATGATATTTAGCTTGCCCGGTTGCCTTGCCGGGAGCCGCACAATATGTGTAAAAGAGCCTGAGCCACAGTTTGGCCACCCCTGAACTACAGCCTTGCAGCCAAAGGACAGCTGCCTAACAGCAGGGGTCCCCACCAATGCTCCCTCTAAGCTGCGGAGTCTTGCGAGCAAAAATTCTACTTTGTGAGCACCTGGCATTAAAGCTGGGATCACTGAGCTGTGAGAATGCTTCAACGTTTCGGGCCGAAGCTCTGCTTATCAGGAGACCTTTTAAAATGAACATGTCATTCTAATCCTGGGGTGTCGAACTCATTGGTTATGAGGGTCGGATCTGACATAAATGAGGCCTTGTCAGGCCGGGCCAAGTGAGTCATAAAATGTAATGCCAGGTCGCGGAGATATAAACTTTATAAAGGACCCAAACACGAAGGGTTTGGGGTTTTTTGCTTAAAATAAAAACATGCTTAAAACAGTAGCGCTCTTGCAATATTTTGTTTATTTAGCAGTGTCTGATAACCGACACCTCTTGCTCTGAATTATTGCGTCAAAATGTCTGTGCTGTTGCAATCTTGAGTATGCTGTTCAGGTGTGTATCTGTAAGCTGCAAACCTACAATGACGCAGCAGCAGCAGAACTGGAAGAAGAAGCAGAAGACAGCCAGTTCCACTGCGGGCCTGATAGAAGCCCTCGGGGGGGGGGCTGATTTGGCCCCTGGGCCACATGTTTGACACCCTTGCTGTAATAGGAATACTTCGCCGTTTCAGGCAGAAGCTCTGCTTACCAGGAGACCTTTTAAAATGAACACGTCATTCTAATCTATCTTCTTATATACACCTTCAGTCATGCAGTGAAGACCCTCGTGTCCAGGCGGCAACTGCAGCTGAAGCGATTTTTCAGAAACCCGCACAGGCAATCCGATCTCCCATTGGCCAACTGCTAAGCAAAGTATTGTATTGCCATCTGGGATCGGTTTAATTTACTGTTTCGGTTGGCGTTTTTAATTATGCATTAATTGTATTTGTAAATGGTTCACAAGGTTGTACATCGCCCAGAGCCTGTTTGCAGGGTGGGCAATTCACAAGACCAATAAAATAAATAAACAAACAAAAGCCCCAACCCCCCCCTTCTAAAGATACTTAGTAGGTGTCATGTGACTTTTCTGCATTTTAATTTCCCTCACTTGTGTGCTCCTGTTGCTTTGGGAGGATTTTCTGTTCCACGCATATTCTGCTCCCTCTAGTGGTTGCTTCCCTACTACGTCGAATTATGTCCGGCATAAAAACCTGCAGTTTAAATCTGCAGGGAGATATTCCAGACGTAAAGCAATGTAATATCAAATCGATCACTAGAGGGAGCTAAACGCATGTGAAACAGACACCCCCCCCAAGCAACAGGGACACAAGCGTGGAAAATGAGAATGTAGAGAAGCCCAGAGTGCCCACGAGCCCCACCTAAGTCGGGGCACCCCACCTAAGAGCAATCGTCAACCCCACTAACATACTTGGCTGGCTTTCGCATTAACATTGCCCAGGGCAAAGAGTCTCTGGACGACAGCCATGTCTTCTTCCCGCTCCACAGCGGCCAAGGCAGCCAGCATGAGGGCAGTGTAGCCGGCTTTGTTCTGGTGGTTGACGTTGCAGACTCCTGTAGGGAAGAAGAGAAATGAAGGTATTGAGACCGGTTCTGTTTCCTTTCTCTTCTAACCCTCCTGCTCCTGTCTTACACCACCAGCAAGGGGTTGGAAAGCCTTCTCTAAAGGTTTCCCTCACTCGAAAGCCAGTC